CACTACATATAGTCATGCGGATATCTCATGTCTATAATTTTCATTATAGTAATTATAGTAGATCTCAAGAATTTTGTAATAATACATAGATATTCCTTTACATGCTATCTTGCATGATGTGCGCGATTTGAAGAAGACGCCCAAGATATGGTTAGACGGAATCGAACTATTTATCATTACTCATATATGTATATGAGTAATTATAATAATATTTCATCGGTTTATTCCTCTATTTGAAATCGAATATTATTTTGTCTTACATCTCAGAATGAGCTGAGATATGTTATTCTATGAGATATTTCTGTTCTAAAAGAATCTCTGATCATATCTTTTCATACTTTTACTCTCGGAGAATTTCGAGATACGATGAGAATGTCACAAAAAATATGACGAAAACAAATATTTTACTGTTAAATATGTTCGCTGGAAAGACTTTATGGAACGTTAATTCTTTGTCAAATTAACTGGCTGAAAGGAAATTGCTTGAACGAATATCTTACTCCTCTTTAAATGGAATCATATAACATTTTAGCGTAAAACAATCCCCCATTGAAATATGCATCTGATAATAGACTTCAGAAAGTGGATTAATAACTCTTATTGCAGAAGTCTAATGATAAAAAGTGGTTTATTATTAGCTGTTGTCTAGTATTCCTTAGACAAGAAATAAGTGAAAGCTTTTTCCACTACAATGGATATGATGATGGTATAAGACAAAAGGAAGATGAATATTCTCTCTTCCAAGTAACGTGTAGTGTAGGGTGCTATTCGAGAATTATTTATAAAGTTAAAAATTTTTACCTACATTTATTATCAAATGAAGTTCTGGATATATGAGTAGTATGACTTACAGTTCTCCTACTTTCTAACTTAAGTTGTCCATATCCATACTCATTACCAAGACAGTTAGCTACATGTACTTTTACATTTTATAACTGGTAGCCTCGAAGTTCATGCACAGTGTCCTGTAAGTATGTGTTGAACATTTAAACTATTCAGCTATGCAAGAAAGGATACAAACAAGTGAAATGTTAGTAATATTATTGAAGGAGAAAAAATTTCACTTAGCACTGAGAATTATACAGAATATGGAAAGAGATTATTTGTGGTTGTGGCATAATTTTGAAATTTTACTGGCCAATGATGAAAACAAACATACAATTTGTATTGATGTTGTTTATGTATAAACGAGAAGCATTACATTGTTTTTTTTATACCTTTTTAAAATGAGCTTGGCTTATGTGCATTCATCCATACATATGCAGTAAGAAGGGAGAGGGGTAGTAGTTATAAATAAGCATAGCTTCGATTTTTTCCTACTAATACTTAATATGGATGGGGTTTCTATTGTATCGATGTTAATCGTATTATTTTTGTTTTCAACCAAATGTGAAGAATAGGCAAAATAAAAAATATACACATAAACCAATCCGATTCAATACGCGTATAATACGATGTAATCACTGTAGCTTTGTTTTCATCAATGCATATCACAGGTAATGTATACATGCTTTATCGTCTACGGTTTGATTTTACGACATCTAATGCTTCTAAAACAACAAATTCAGTATGCCATTTACAAGTGAATAAGAATAATCATTTTTTCATGATTCTACATACTGAAGAGAGAAAATTCAGAATCTTCGATTCAAATTCAGTACCATTGATAGATACTATTTCAGTTTCTAATAAATCAAGATTACGTGTTTTAAGCTCAGCTTCAATAATTGTCATGCTGCGAATTTCTGCAATCTATGAGAGCTAGTCTACATCGGCTACACAGATCGTGTATCTATTGTGGTCTCTGTCACTATTTCAAATTATAGCCTAATTCACCAGTCAACTTCAGACATGAATACTGTGTCAGTATGAGTTTTTTCTTCTATTAACAGCTGTTTTCTTATAACGACTAAGAGCCTCGATACCTATAATGGTTTCAGCAATCGTCCCAGCACTTATCTTTACAGGAGTCCTCAGTTTCCTGAGCTGACTATGATTGTAGATGAAGCGCTAATGCTCATACAGACTTTTATTACGGATTCTGATACTTATGATAGATTCAGCCATGGTCCTACTGACCATCTTCTTGTCAGTTCAAACTTTAAGTACTCATAGAAGTTTCAGACCTTCTACTGGTACTCACCTCAGTCTTAGCTACAAATTACTATACTCAGTTTGATCTTATCCGTTATGATAGTATCTCTCATGATCTGAATTCTGAGTGCATTATGGTTTCAACCGTTGTCTTGATATCCATCTTAATTTCAATCAGCCCTTCTGAGAGTGATCACAAATTCGGCACATTATCTTAATACTCTCTTTAATTTTAATTCCGAATTCTTTTACAGAGTAGGAATTTAGCTATGGGTCTAGTTCTGATGTTAATCCCGAATACGAATTCAGATAGTCATAACAGTTCCAGTCTCGATCTTCATGTTTGCTGGTCACCGTTTCAGTCATTGATTCATTGTTTTTTTCGCTGTGTTTTCGATGCGCTTCTTTATTTTAAACGCCATTTATGATGGCTACAATAGTTTGAGGTCTGATTGTAATACTCATCTTGAATTTAGTTATAGACTGTCATGACCATGATAGCTTCAACCACCGTCCTGCTATTTATTTTAATTTGAGTCTCTGTTAATTACATTCACTATGATTTTTCGTCTGATTTACAGAGTTTGTCTTGATTTCATTTGTGGATTCTGATCTTCAACATGATATCATCCATCTTCGGCGTACTATCTTGAGTTCAATATATGCTAATGATATGTGGATTAGATTTAAAACTTGTTCTAGTAATCGTGTGTATTTCAGATTCCATCTCGGATACTTATTGTTTGTTTATGCGTAGTTCGAGTTTCTATTTTCATTACTCTTCGTACAGTTAGAATTCATTAGTATTCCAAAACTTGTTAGTAGTACTTATAAGGGTTTCAGAGATAGTATTAATATTAATGCTGATCTCACCTCTAGACTTTCATATTCATTTTAGTTTCAGTGGTACCCCGAACACACATCTTGCTTTGAAGTCTCATATCCAGGGACTCATTAGAATTTCAATCATGAATCTAGCATCCGTTTTGTTTCTAGTTAATTCTTGCTTTAGAGATTGGTCATAGTGTCAATGGTGCCCCATCGCACTTTACTTGTTTTCAGTTCGTGCTGCTAATACTCTATAGATTTTTATGTCCAATTCCGATGTTAATCTTAATTTTAGTAAAGGACTATGTTTTTTGTCGTGGTTTCTGGTGTAGTCCTAGTAAATGTCAAGAAAGTAAATCTCATCGATCGGTCTACTCATTGTTTCCAGATTTCAATTTTGATTGTTGATACTCATAAAAGGTATAGGCATGTTCCGAATCCTTATCTTCGCTGCAGCTCTGCTTTTGAATATTCGTCGAAGTCGCAAGTCTGCTGTTAATACTCGTCTATATCTTAATTATCTATTCTCATACTTATTATGACTTTAACTATGATTCTAGTATAGATTCGTAGTATATAATGCATATTAAATTTTCACATCTGATTTTGGTATTTGCCTTGATTTCATTCATGGCTTGTGAATGGTCACAATGATTTCAGTCTCGATGCTGATAACTACCTTGGTTTCAATTTATATTTTTTGGATATTCATAAGAAAATGAAATCTCTTTCTAATCCTCATTCTTATCTCATTTTTGTACTAATGCTTCTCATCAAGGCTTTAGCTATGATCATGGTTTTCATTTGAACTTCAACAATTCCCTTGTGAGACTTTTCCGAAATTGTTTAGTGGTCTCACTATTCACATCACGGCTGCCAAATCCAATTTTTAAAAATTAGGAATTTTTGGCAAAAAACCACGAGTGGACCAGGAAACTTCTCGTGAAAAATCAGGAGAAAACCAGGAGATTTCTATCGAAGTCATGTATTCATTTGAGAGTCAAGTTTCGAAGAAGAATTCAATTTTGTTTAGCATAACAGCTCGTTATTATCTACTGCTAAGCAAGTGATGAGATAACTTGCCATCAAATAATATGAAAAAACAAAGATGACCAAATGTAACTTTTATTACTAATTATTTCACTGTTCATAAACATACAAAAATACATAAAAAATAAAGTTCACTTGAAAACAAATGTAAGCCAAAATAAACAAAAATATATGAAAAATGAAGCATCACCTAAGCCTTTCGGGGCATTTTTGCAATGTGAGTGCATTTTTCTGATGAGCGAATTTGTGTCAATAAATCAAAATTATTGTAAATATAATTATAGAATTATGTACAGCTATAATGATTATTCATTTTAATTTTTAATTCTCCACCAATAAGTTCATGCTTCATGCTATTTCGATTATTATTTCATAAGAATTTTATATGACTGAAAACTGATTCACAAAAAGCATTTGATGCTGGTATAGAAAAAGCAAAATGAACTAATTGTCGTAAATTAGGTACATTTTCACCATCGATGAGATAAGCCCATAATTGATCACAATTTATAAATAAATCTTTCTAGTGTTCTTTGTGAGATCTTGCATTTTGTTCTTCATCATCTGTATCAAAGTTGTTTTCAAATTCACATTCGTTGCAAAAATTGTGTTGATTGTCTAATGTTGTTTCAATTTGTGTTGATGGAATCAGAATTGATGAAATAAAATTTTGCAGTTGTTTTTAGATTCCATCAAATTTGCCTTTAATTCCAATATATTTTGATCCAATATGGTTAAACTCATTGTATAAACAAACGTTATCAATATTATTAGCATAAATAAATGTAATACAATGTCCAATGCTTTTCCATTCAATTCTTTCAATATCTACATGTATTTCACCAAAAATTAATATTGACTTGTATAATAAAGAATGATCTTGGTAATAACTTTCAATGTATTGGATAACTATTTGATTGAATGATCGAAATAATTTTTTTAAATCATTAATTTCGGTTGGATGTTGAATTTTTTCTAATAAGTCCATCACTTTACGACCAAAATAATGGTCATCCAAGCGATTGTTTAATTTACGTAATAAATCTGTTATGATACTGTATAAATTAACACCGGTTGTATAATGTCTTTGTAATAGTAAATTAGCTTCTTGTACTTCTGCTAATACATTATTCAAAAAGTACAATGAACATTCAGCTATAGGAAAAGCTAGACATTCAACATATATCCATAAAAACAAAGTTTCTACCTTTATTTGAAGAAGAAAAATTCTAACAACAATTTCGGGCATTGACTATATTCGATATTCAAAAAATAACTTTTAATGACCGGATAGACAATAATTAGACGTTCAACTGATTGTAAAAGAATAAGCCAACGCAAGCGAATATGTTGAAGAATAACCTAAAAGGACGACCCAAGGTAGAATGAGCCTGCTTAACATTCTGACACGAATACCTAATCCAAAACAGTTTAAATATAATTAATTACCTTCTGTTCTTGTTCAGTGACATCAGAATAATTCGATAACTCTTGTAAACGAACCGACGACCTAGAGAAATTGGCATAAATTTTCAACATTACACCTTCTGTATCAAATAAAAGATGTTTATTTTCATGTTTAACCCAATTGTAAAAAATGTGGCAATCGTAATTACTTACCAGCAAAACAATACACGAGTCACTTAATAAATTTCGACGTTATTCTAACGAAAAAAATGTGTGTAAATGGAGAATGAACTGGTTAATGGTTAAGATGATCACTAAGCTCTTGACTTGGTCTTAGTGTCTGTTGAATTCTGTACACTTTCGTTACTTGTCGCTACCACTTGAGGGAGGGTGTGGGTCAGTGTGAGTGTGGGTATGGGTGTGAATGTGGGTGTGGATGTGGTGGTGTGGGTGTGGATGTGGGTTAAACGAACACTTTCACAGACACGCACACTCCACACACACCCAAACACCCACACTCCACACCAACACCCCAAACCCCACACCACCCACACCCACACCCAAATATAACGAGTAGAGAATTACGAGGCTTTTTTTTAAATTTATTTAACCACATGCAATTATCAAAGCTATTTATAGTCATCTGAAAACTAAACCATCGATGTGTTCATCAGAATTATTCAAACGACAGCATATTTAATCTTTAACTCATAAAAATAAAAAAAATACTTATTAAAAATCTTTGTATCAACAAATATTGATGATCTATTCAAGTCTTATATGAATCAAAACCAATCAAAATCCGAGGTTCCAACGGTAGCATTATAAAGAAAGCTTATTAAAATATTTTTCTTAGATTTTTACTTGTGTTAAGATATCATGGAAAATTGATTATATCTTCGAATGAAGCCAATATGATCAAGTACAGTATCTTTCAGCAAAATAATGAGTTATTTATACAAACGAAAAGAATCTCAATGTGCTAGATTTTAAATGAACCATCAAAATAAAACACTATATTTTTGATAATTAGTTAATTTTTATACGAACTTGTTTAAAAAATTGTATTAAGTTATAAAATACCATTTCATTCAAATGTTTATTATAAATAAATGCAAAGAATTGATTTCTTCGTTTATTCATAACTTTAATTGCATTTAATTTTTGTCATACTTAGAAAAAAAACTTCTCACGCAAGCCGATGTGTATTTATTTCACCTATAATTTCTTAATACTTGCGATATGATTCATACATTACTCTGCTAAAATGAGAATAATCGACCAAATTTTCTTGTACATCCACTTTTTCTTGAAACAACAATGAATACAAGCACATATGTCTAAAAAGTACTGATACTGCATGCTCTCTTTTCTATTTCACAGGACTAAGTTAATTTATATGTCTTGACGAAGTACGTTCACATTGTATGTAGATTATCTCGACTTGTTTTATTAAACAGCACTATCAAATATAATTATAAACAAAAATTTTATTATAATAAATCAATTTTTGTTTTAGATTGATGATAATGTGCCAAGAAAGAATCAACAAACCTAAGTAGCATGTGTGATATGCTGTTTCAATAAGAAAGCAGATTATCGTCTGATATATATACTTTATTGAAACTGCAGACACATAAAAACTGCTCTCTAACTTTATTGAACGTCAAAAAGAAACAGAATTCAACTCTTTCACAAGCATTTTATCGACAGACACAAGAAGTTTTCGCCGTCGTATTCACTTAACTGTTGTAACTGTCTTTTTTATAAGAAAAAACCGCGTCGTGTCATTCGTTTCCTTATAATATGGTAAAAGAAAACAGATGATGACTGGATTAAAAAAAATGCAAAATGGGAGAAAAAAATAGAATCAAGCAGGCTAGGCAAAATTGAACATAAATTATAAAGTGTAATTGGTGTTGCTTCGTAGAAACACCAATCAAATTCTTTAATGGACTTTTAATTCGTCTAGTCTATTCGATCTCGCACACAGTGAGACAAAGATGGCTTTGTTCTAACATCAGCTAACGTTTTATATTGAATAAAAAAAATAAAATTTAAACTTTAATTCTTTTTGTTGTATACTTTTGATAACGAATTGCACGTACATTAACTTCACAAACAGTACATATTTCTTAACAATGCATCCAAGACAGCAACTATACGATTCATTTTTGGATGTTTATTGTCAACTTCATAAGGACCTTAAGAGACAGGTATGAATATTAACAGAAACTAAGGAAGATTTTAGATTGCTTGCATTTTTTTTAAAATGTAGGTTGCATATCGAAATGGTCAAAAAGCATGGAGTGAAATAAAACCGAAAGGAGACGAAGCAATTAAAACTGAAATCTCTCAAATGACAGCTAAATTAAAAGTTAATCAATCGTTATTATCACCTGTTTATATGTTATGGAACCAGAAAAAAAAATTATCTTCATCAACGCCACCTGTAGCATATGCAGCGTCTTCATTACCATCACCATCTTCTGAAGAACAAACTAACACTCCATCATCATCCAATGTAACAAATTCTCCTGTAACTTCAAGAGGTAACGTTTTTATTGCTCATTCAAATAAAAAATGTCTTTTTAGAATGTTTTAAGCAAAATAATTTACAAAATGAATTAAATACAATCAATGAGCAAATAGCTGCATTATCTGGTTTAAAAGCAACTGGTTTATGGAGACCGAAGAATTCTAAAGAATTAAATGATTTAACGAACAAACGGTCTAAATTAAAACAAGCTTTACATAGATTAAAAAATAATCAAGCTGCTCAAACTCGAGCGAGAAAAAATCGTCGTTTAAAATTGGTTCGTTTACTTGATAATCATCCGGAATTAGGTGAAGAAATGTCGTCATTGGTTCGTTCTGCACCTGGAAAACCTAATATTGAAGATTCTCAACCTGGANGGTGATCCTTTGTGTAAAAAAAATCGATCCGAAAAAAATTTTAAAAAACTAACATCAGATTCGAGTTCCTCGACCCTGATTACCCTTCGGTCAACCCTTATAAAAACGATGATGTGAGAGGTCAAAAAAACATTTTTTCGTTCTGTGCGAACGAACGAACGGACGGAGTCACGAACATACGAACCTTGCTCGGTGTATGACCCTCCTTTCAGTAGAGGGAAATATAATATTCAATTGTCAATAAAATCATCTATATTATTCTTATGTCAACAAACGAAATAAACAAGATGAATCATTCATATTCAAATAAGAATTTCATAGAGGATAATAAGGAACTCTTTCTAACCTTATTTCATTTAACATCAATTAAGACATTCATTCGAATCTTTACCAAAATGATCAACAGTAGTTAACGAAATAAATAAATCAATAAAAAAAAAAACATTGAAAAAGAAGAATTATCTAGAGAGTAGGACCAGTTCGGTTTTATTTTAAATTGAAAGGAAAAATTAGCAAGAAAATATGAGATAAGTAAATATTTGTATAATATATTCAGTAAATGAGACATCGGAGATGATTATAGATAGAAATCAATATTGAAATCTATTGAATTATTTTTTGACTGAACTAGACTGCATTTTATATAGAAATTAACCAACTATATTATTCTTTTGAAAAAAAAAAGTTTATTATTACACTTTCACCAAGATGTACAGCGTCAAACTCATTATCTGCACCAATTTCAAGTAACGTCGACATAAAATGCTTCTTCTTGGCTACTTAAATCTTTTTTTTTAGACTGTAAAAGAGCATTTGAGTATGTCAACAACGTTTTGAATTTTGCTGTACTTGACTACGACATATCCTTGTTAAAATTCTTCGAACTTTTGATAAAGAAGTTAATGATAAATCTCCCATAAAATGATGTAAATTTGATAAAATAAGTTATATCGACAAATTGATGAAAAAAAAAAAAGAAAATTTTTAAAAATAAAAATGAAAATGAAATCTATTCTAACCTCTGTAAAATATCAATCTAAATAGTCAATAGTATTATAATCACTACCAATATATATTTATCAACCAAATTCGATACTTCAAAGAAAATTCGGAATAAACATTTAGATTTATGAAGATTATTTGTTTGTTTCAACTTGTTAGATTTATACTCGGATAATGTCAACGCATTTATAACCAATAAAAAAAGTGATCTATTGCAATGTACATTGGTAAAATGAAGAATATCATCGATATTATCCAAGGAAGTGGATTTAGTTAATAACATCTAATCACTTTAATCAATATGGTCTTTATCTATTTCATCAAACTTATGAGAATCTTTTTTATGGTTCGAGGCCCTGAGTTTATGTTATTGATAAGTCTGATTTGTTTTTGGTCAAACTCAACCTTTCTGATAAAAGAAGAACTTTTTTTATTGATAAGTGGAGAAATCGAAAGAAAAGATCTTTTTGTTTTTTTAAAGAATGTCTATTCAGTGATTATACTCTCTATATGTTTGTTCTTTTCGATTTAATCTCTTATAGAATTTTCATATCTAGTAAACCAATTTATCATTTTCGATTAGAATTATTCAATAAAATTTCTTTTTTTTCTCAACTAAACTTTTCATTAAAAAAAAACGTTTCGAAAAAAAATCTAATATTAACTAGAATGAGAAATTCTTCCAAAACTAGGAAAGGGAATATATTCTTCGTTCTATTATCATAGATCATCTCATCACTTTTAATAAAAAAATTTCGAATATCGTTCTTGAACTGATCCAAGAGTTATGTCCTCAATATATTTAAACGAGGGACTCGTCTAACTAAAACAAATCGATAAGAGTAATAACTATCGATCTCTGATTATCGTCAATTGAAAGATGAGTATTCTAACCATTATATATAAGACGATATCTATTCAAAACGTTATCGTCTTAGAGAAGACATTAAATAATATATATGATAAAGACTTCTCATCTAGATCAATCTTTTATTTTAAACTCGAATTTATATAGACAACTCACAATTAAACGGAATTTATTATTATTTTATCATGTTAATAGGTCACTATTCACATTCGATCGTTACATTATAGATCTAAACTCTTCATCTAGAAATTTATTTAAGATTTTTTTTCTTTTTCGAATATGATCATTTTGAAAAGGATGTCCTCTTATATATTATCGAAAGAAAATCTCTAATTATCTCTGACCTTAGCAATTGGTGAAATGTTCGAGATCCGTAACTCTTACTCTTATTGATTTATTGGATTTACATAAATATCTGGTTAAATCTGGTCAGTCTAGATATTAATTCTTAACAAAAGTTATCATTTAAATTGAATCTCTCCCTAGAAAAATATTTATTAAATGTTGATCAAGAAAAACAAAGTATTAGAGAATAATGTCAAAGTTCATTTTAAAAAATATCCCGAAAAGCAAGTTGATCTCGATCTTCTCTTCTATTCCTCGAGATCGATTTTTTCTTTTCCTCAACAGTTCTACAGGATAAATTTTCACGTAGATAAAATGTGATATTTTAGAAAAATAAATATCGATGTTGTGAGAACTCGATAGAATTGAATAAAATCTTCCGATTAATGATTAATAGATGAACATCAACCTGAAGACAGATGATTAGATATTCAATAAATAAATCGTCAAATTTTTTATTTCGGTTTATCATCACCATTAGAATCCGTTGGATATCATTTATATATTGTTCAAAGTAAAATAGATTGAGTAAACGATAATAATAACAAGACGAATGATTATTTTTTAATATAGTCGATATGTCACCAATTTCACTTTAGAATAAATTTCTCTCGTCCTTATATTTTTATAAGATCAATAGTTTTTTTTTTAATTAACTAAACAATTTCGAACATTTTCAAATGATTCTTGTTGATTATTAATTAATGATTGAAATAATAAATATCGTTTTGAGATATATTCAATAACTAACTATATTAAAATTATCTTATAAACAATTATTATTCGAATCGATACTGATTGATAATATGTTCGATTATAGAAAGTAGTCTACTATATATACAGTTAATTCATATTCACTTATAGATCAGTTAATATCTATCGTTTTTATTTCAAGTAAAATCGATAAGAATAATATGAATATTTAATTTGTTTGATTAATTCTCGAACAACCTCGATTAACATTCATATTGACATTGGATTGAGTTGAACAGAAAAAAGAAAGGTTTATCACCGTATTTAAAATATGTTAACACTTTATGAACAAAGATTAAATAAAGAATTCTTATCCAAATATATTTATAATTTATTTTAAAAAAACGATCAACAAAAAAACAAAAATAAATCAATAATGATATGAAACATGTGTACTATGACGATAAGGGTTTTAATTTGTATGAAAAGGCATAAGAAATATAATTGAGAAAAATCTTCTTAACCATTTAGGATTTGTTCGGGACGTTTGAAATTTATTTAACCGATATATTTATTTGTTAAGAAAGAATATTTAAATAATATTAAACAAATATGTTAAATAATAGAATTTACCGACATCAGAACAATGACTTTTTTACTGTAATCATATGATTAATGGGATATAGAAACATCGATTGGTTTTAAATATATCTTGTTAGAAAATATTTTCTATCATTTTATTGTTTTTTTCTAAGAGAATTAGTTTTCTAAATGAGTTATCCCAAGTTAATGATATAGTCTTGCAAAAAGAAAAAACAAATTCCCAATCGATACCTAAAAATAGAAGAGTGACGTTCACTTTATATTGATTTGGAGTGTTTTTATTGAAGGAACTCTATGGAGACTCGTCTATATTTGGATTGCTCAAATACGACATATTAACTCGACTATATTAAAACTGATACCATTATTTGCAAGAGCCTCTTTCATCTGTAAATCTTAACTGTTTTTCTTTCTATAGTAGAATATATTCCGAAGGGTTCTTCAAGTAAACGATAATTGATCTAAAATAAAATAAACAATAGAAATGATTTTATCTTCGTTAGCTTCTCCTATGTTTATTAATGTCTGATTGTCGTTATTCAACCTATTAATAATCGATCATTATTTCATTTAGTTATCGGTCTATCATTCAAAACAAAAGCAATGATGTATGTTTTTGTTTACCAATAAATAAATAAATAAATATTAGATAAAATAATTCTAAAATGATCTATTGAAAGAATTTATATAAAAAAATCGTTTTATTATAATTATCGTTCTAACTAATCAACGATATTTATTCTCATATTGAGATTTAATATCGATTATTCTATTGATTTATTTTGAAAGAAAAATCAATTTGTTAGTTAGAATAAAATTCAAATTTTTTATTATCTTTATCATCTTCTAGATAATCATAAATTGAATCATTTTTCGATTTATTTTATTATTTTATTCAGATAGATAATCAAACATTTATAGAATTATTATTTATATTATTTAAGAAATTTAATCATCTATATTATTTAAAAAAAAAAATATTGTTTTTATCGAATTAATTGATAGATAAAAAGTGAAGAACAAATGTGAAAGAATTTCCTAAAAGGAGAAATAAATCGAATAGAATTTAATAAAAGAATTGAAAACTAAACAAGATAATATATTCTCGTTTGATTTTTTCTTCTATCTGCATTATAAAGAGAATATCTATTCGATTGTTAATTAACATATATCACTGATTTATATATGTAAAGACGTTCAATATTCTAGATAAGTTAAAATAATTTATTCAAACCTCTAAAAGGTATTATTCTATGAAGCATATTCATATGATTTTAGATGAAGATCAATTGAAAATAAATTTTCAAGATGATTATATAAAGATTTCATAATAAAACAAAGATAAATCTTTTTGTTAAATTATTGATTTCATTGAAAAAAAAATATTTATTCGATTTAATAAGGTTAGCTTTTATTTTAAAAATATTATACCGATAGAAACTATACACTATTTAATATAGATAAAATATTATTTGAATTATTCAAATAATTGTT